ATTGACTTTTAGTTAATAAATGTTAAGTCGCCCACGGAACTTCGAAATTACTAACATTATTTTGAAGCCGTTTACAGAATCCAACTTATAATTACAGGATGTGTGTGAACACGTGGATTCTTCAGATACATAATATCAGCAGAAATTAGTCCAAGGCCAGCCGAACCTTTGTTTTCAGTCACATTTGATTGTCATTTCAACTATCACCCTTATACTTGAAGTGTGATGGTTCGAGGTTTGCTTAAACTTTTTATATAAAATATTTAAGCCAATCAGTTATGTTGATGGGCTCATGGCCAAATGGATAAGGCGCCTGACTACGAATCAGGAGATTCCAGGTTCGACCCCTGGTGAGCTCGTAGTTTTTTGCGTAAACCTACTCAATTATTCAATGACCTAGTCTCACAATTGTGTTGCCGAGATTCTTATTATTATTATTATTATGTAAGAAGTCGCACGGCAGCATCTTTTTTATTCTTAACTTCGAAACACATGACACAATATCTTCAATATTGACGTCCATAAATAGCAAACAAAAAATTCCTTATTCCCAAAACACGAGTACATAATCCATCTTTGTTATCATATATCCCTAATCAAGACAGAAAGGGGTTTGTTCAATACAAAGACAAGCTTTGCAGCCTGCCGGCTGATGTAATCAAGAAAACAATCATTATCATCTGATGGCTGTAGTCGGCATCATGCACAAGAGCTATCGTTCCGTTTTTGTGAAGAGAATTGTGGCTGAATGACAAGTATCGAATTCAAGACTTATTGGTGTGGGAAAGAGAGAGAAAAAATTACAACTGAGGCTTGATCAGAATGTGCGACTTTTTTAACCAAAAATTGCTTGTGCGATTTGAAAATGTGAGACGCGTTGTTCTGTTTGAAGGGTTTTTATTTGTTATTCGAAATATTATCGAGCTTTACCCCGAACTTTGTGTGCATGCAACAAAGAACATTCTGCAGTTTCCGTTGCTCATTAATTGCGTGGTTTAATTTTCTCCTTGTACAAGAAAAAAATTACAAAGAAAAAAAAAAGACGACTTATCGAAAGTCTTAAACGTAGAAATGAGTTTTTACATGTGAAAAGGAAAATCATAAAATTCAACAGAAAACCGCAATACAGTAAAGGAAAATGTTATCAATCGCTCTTTAACGCTCTTCTTTCTGTCCAACAGATCCAGCTTTGATGCAGAGTGAATGTTAATGGTCAAAGAGCGATCTCTTCGAATGATCTACATTAAACCGAAGAGAATATGCGAAAAATGTTGTATAATATAGCATATATGAAGATGATGGCTTAGAATTTGTAAAAGAGTAAAAGAAAAAAAAAATAATAAAAGAAAAATCAAAATATTGACAACAAAAGTACAAAAAAAAAAAAAAGACAAAACGCAAAACAATATGTAAAAGAATTTTGCATATAACAATCCAACATAATAAACATAGATCCCAAAGAATAACAACCCTATCCCACAGGAAATCATCCCAGCTAAGACCCTATTCGGCATATCCAACCAAACAAATATAATTCGCCAAAATTCCAAAAAGTCCTTCGTTAGATTCATCCCGTTTCCTCTCTTCCCTCGCCTCCTATTACGCAAAATCATATCTTGCGCTCGTTGATATACGCTCATGCTATATAGTCATTCCAAGGAGAAATCGAAAATGAAGTTTAAAAGGAGAAAGAAAAGAGGAAAGAGAGAAGAGGGGAAGAGTGAGAGTTTCGAGACAAATTTTGGGGGTAAGATGTGTGCGACGTGTGTGCGACGTTAGCGCTTGCTGCATACTCGCTGTCGAAGATTTCAATGTGGTTGGTAAAATGACCTTTTTCTTTTCCTCCATTGCATTAATCCATTGAAGAACGGTTGTACAGCCACAATACAGATTTCGAAAGTCTTCAGACACAAGTATGATATCACCAACCCCTCAAGTTCTCCTCAATTTTGTTGTAACATTAGAACTATCATTATTTCTCCATCTCTTTACAATTTTCCATCAACACTCCTCCAACACGCCCTCGATTTCGTAATCAATGCCTGCATCCTCAGTTTCTTCGAGGAACTGATCCAATACATCGTAAGCCTCTCTACCAAGTTTCAGAAATACTACGTTTTCGTATACCCTCCCAAAGTTATCCAGTGTCATTGTATCCAACCATTCGTCATCATCGTGATTGTAGAGCCAGTGAAGGATGGGGGAAAAACAGCTCGGATGAGGAACGGAGATGTTTATGGTTGGTAATGCAAAGATCTGGGAATCAGGAGAATATGGAGCGGGGGAAGCTAGAGATGAAGCGTATTTGGAGTACGGTGTGTACGTTGGTGAGTTAATCGGTCCAAGCAGACGGTTGAAATATCCCGACTGCGTTGCCAAGATCAATGTGTGGCAAAAGAAGATGTCTTCAGACGGTAGCGGCGGAGAAGGAAGAGAAGAATGAATGAAGTATGAATACGGAGAGGGTGAATATGGCGTTTGTGTTGACATGGGAGATGCCGGCGGAGAAGGAAGCATTGTTGTAGATGTTGAACATGTGGGTATGCAGAATAGTGAATGTGTTTGTGAGTATGCTTGCGGTCTCCTTTGATGTGAATAATGTTCGTATCTGTCAATGTTCACTCGATCGTCCTGTTCCATATCACTCTCGTCTTCACTACCATTGCTGAAGTCATTTTCATAATAGTCTACAAAACACTCCATCTGATCGGTACTATCCGCTTCTCCATGGATTGCGCTGTTCCTGACTACTCGCAATACAAATTCGGCGGATACCATGTTCATCCAATGCTGTGGTCCAAAGACATCTAATTCTTTTAAAAAGTATGCCGTAGGGATAAGTCTGCCCGCGAACGGATCGCTGAAGAATTCAGGAGTATGGTCCGAAGGTGAGTATTGGGGGATGCGAACTCTCTTGCGTATAATTTTCTTGCCCATTATTACAATTAGTGGAAGTTGACGAATTGTGACAAGAGAACAAATTAACGTGACTTGTAGAAAAAGTAGAGACGATGGGTCTTTTTTTTTTTTTGTTTTTTACGAGTTGAATATGCCACTGGAGCTGATGAAGTGGGAAGACCCTGATATGCTATAAGAGCTGAAGGATGGGAGATGATATTAGCCGATAAGGCTCTTTGGTCTTATTGAAGGTCGTCCTTTTGGTCGTTAAACGTGAAATTAGGGGATGCGGGAAAGTCTAAGTATTTTATAGATGCGGGTCTGTGGTGACGAAATCTATGCAAATAAGGCTGTTAATGGGATATAAAAGTCACCATGTAAAGTATATGCGATATTATATATTCTCAAATATATATTATATGGTATAAAGTATTAGGTGTTATGTATTAGAAATATCTATTCATTATTGATTATAAGACCCTTGAAGTCAAAAAGTGGTAAGTAGAGGTGAGCAGTTCGATTTATGTTGTTTCAATAGTATAAAAAGAGGAAAAAGAAAGAGGGCGCTACCAATATTGGATGTGTGGCTAATATTTATATACTTATTGAATTAAGAGTATGCTAAAGTTTTTATTGTTGTCCATATTTGTCTTGTATATTGTCATATCACCTTTCTTGTCTATATTTGGGATAGTTCATTGCAATTAAAAGTCGATTTACTATTATTTTTTTATTGTTATACTATTATTTACTACTGTCACTCTATTATTACCGCTAACTACAGTTGACGTTACCCATTCGACATGCTTTTACATACTTTTTTACTACTTTTTAGTAATAACGCCAAGTTTTTTATTATTTACCGTTACCAATTTATTATTACTAACTTCATTACAAACGTGCATATTTATATATGATATGCAAGCCCTCCGACTACGACTACGTATAATTGATGTCCTAATATTGATCACTACAGATTGTCAATAATGCTTTCATTGTCACTCGGCTGAACAGTCTTTCACCCATTATCTGCCCATTATTGCATACCCATTATGTTCAACCTATCAAATATATTTTTTTGCCGGTCTACCAATGCTCTTATTTATTTAAGCCGAGGTTAACCCATTGATTTTCGTGTAACTAACACCAAAAACACAAATTAATAACTCGATATGCGCTTATTCGCACTAGGAATATTAGACTAATTATATTGCGTTCCATTTCAGCTAATTTATAATACCAATATTGGCCAATAAATTTGGTAATATTCTATTTATATCCTCATTACTATTATTACTACCATAGGTACATACCAAGGAAGGAATATTCTCGCAATAAACACAAACATTTGTAAATACGAAGGGGGTTTAATATCGAGAGTAAGGAGTATGCATGGGATGGTGTGGGCCATACGTTCAATTACTAACTAGTACACACACATCAAACATTCACTTCCCAATTTAGGTTATCGTTCCTAATTTGGAAGTATTAAAGATTGTTAACTTCTTCGATACTGAATTTGAATATATATGCTTTTCCCTTGTCGTATATATCGAATCGATATCGTACGCTGTTTATTGTCGCTTCATAGTTGAAAAGATTTACCCGAATCAATGAGATCGAGGTGTGGAGTAAACAAGATCGAACAATCTACTGATGCAAATTTGTATACAAAAAAGTCAAACATGCATGTATCAAACACAAGCAGTCGGACCTGTCAACAAACGGTTTTGAAAGATTTCGTATACCCCAAAAGTTTCCGATGGTTTGCAAAACTTTTTTTAGATATTTTATCTGCCCCCTTCTTGCTATTGACTAATGCAGTTTCACTAGGGTTGAGGCGTATTCTTCAACAGCTACTTGCAGCTCTGGTGTTACTCTGGTTTTATGCATTCGTTATCCTAATAATAAAATAGTATTACTATACTATTGACCGGCCATTGCAAAACCTTTCCCCGATCTTATTCAATACACAAAACATTTATTACTATTTTCAAGAGTTCTTCCGAGATTATATGCCGAGTCTATCTGTTAATAGATGAATTACAAACATCAATTTCAATTCTTTGTTGTATAAATGCTATCATACTACTCTTCCGCCAATATTACATAAGTACATAGGGAGTACTTGTCTGATGCATTCGTCAATATGATTCTGACGTTTGTGTGTCGCCTGACAATGTAATTCCTATTTTAACGTTTTTTACCTAAAACATCGTTGTGTAATTGTCTAATTGTTCGCCGCAATTCCCGATCATTGTCATTGCTAAGCACGCCGTATCTGGTTTTGCTCTCCCTCCGCCCCGCAATAATAACATATACCTACTTCCGTATTTAGACATGTAAAAAAAGGGAATCGCATACTTCAGCTTGTTTGCTGTTGTGCACGGTGATGTCAAAGTGATGCAAATCCAAGATAGTTGACCTTTGCCTTGTTAGTAATTACAAAAAATTATTCGTCCTGCACCTAGCCCTCGTTTTGGCCTGCAATATTGAAACAAAATTAGATGACGTATGAAATCATACGTCTAACCTTTTCCGGACCCGTACAGGCGACTTGGGCGCGAATTGTCATTCCATTATATTGACTGAAACGGATGATAGGTTTCACATTCAAAACTGAACAATTCGGAACACATTAGTTAGCCTGCTCAAATACACAAAGAATCCGATCCATCTTAATCAAGAAAAAGCATTCACCTGGAGAATCGACAACAGTTCGATTTGAAAAAATCGCATTTGTCGATCAGACATTGTACAGCCAGCAAGGTCGCATTGTAAAGAGCTGATGTTAATGGATTCATTTGACCTACTGCAGGACCTGATATTAGAATAAATTATGATCGGTATGACTTTTACACTTGTGCTGATATTCATCCTCCGTTTCCGGTTGATTGATAAACATACCATTGAATTAGCTCAAAGGTGTGTACGGCTAGCCATAATAACGCTTAATACAAGTGCTTTTTGGTTAGTCAAATCGGGGCCAATGTCAGGGATAATGTCTTCACCAATGTTGAATGATGGTATGACAGTTTGGTCTGCGGTAGGTTCATCGCGTTTGACCTTCAACCGGCGGTAAATGACAAACCAGTTTATCAAGCTGGGGTATGGTGCATTAATCGAAAGATCTGCTTGAGATTCTCTGCCTGTGTCAAGTTAACATTTGCAAATGAGCACGAATCAAAAGTCGTCAAAAAGTAATTTAACACATTAAAGTAACGAAATCACTAGTGTTAGCATACCTCACGCAGGGCATTACTAATCGAGTGATAGTATCATGAGAACGAAGTACTGTTAATATCATGGTGCGAACGCATCGAACATGTGGATGTTTCATGACGGCCCAAGTACAACTGTTTCAGTAAGTAAGCCTAGCTGGTATTCTCGTGCTCGGTTTATGAATGAATTAGCGGCCTTTGATTCCCAGTAAATGTTTAATCACAGTTCACGTCGGTTGCGAACCTTTAAACATTCTGTCACTGATCGAAGAAAGACCGAGCCTCTAAAGACGTGCTTGCTCTTCTCAGCTGGGATTTCTCCAGTAAACAGGAGCGTTTGTAGACCATAGTGTTGTCCAAATGCGAAACAGAAGAATAGTAAATATAAACATAAGCGCCATGCACATAGTCCAATGATCGATGATAATTTCTCGTAATTATGCGGACTGTGGTACAGGATTAAAGTTGTATCATCGGATATTAACATATCTGCGCGCGATGATTTACGAATAACTCGTAATAGGTCAGGTACAAAAGCATGCAATTACACAGCTTCTCGTAACAAAGTTCTTACATGCTGAATGACAAGACATGTAAAGTCTACGCTAGCATACAGGTATATAAAATTTAGGAAACGGCGAATGGATGGATTGAAAAGTATACTTATACTGGATAACATATAACCGTTTTATTTTTGGGAGATTGATTTAGCCAAGCAAGGGGGGCGGCAGATGTGATTAGTCTGAAAAGCTAGATGTAATAGTTACGGGTTTGATTTCATGTAAGCAATCAATGTTAGTTTCTTACCGTTTTTAACAAAATCGAGAATACTCAAAAAAGAAAAAGGCTCAAGGCTAACTATTCAGGGATTCTCGGTGATGTAATAAATTGCCTATGAAAGTCGTCAAGAAATAAAACTCTATAATACTGCCGTGACACTGTCACATAATCGGACCGAATGATCAATATAATTAAATCTCATCACATGGATTGACGTTTGGTTTGTTGCACATGCTCACTTAAATTGTTACTTGTCTCGTTATAGACAAAAGCCAATTCTCTTTTCTGACTGATAAGTTTTTATGGAGAATTCTTTTTAGTCTTAAACTAATGTAATTTAATTTATGTCTACGAAAATTAATACTTGATATCGGATGAACTGCACTATTTTGTGGAGTATGTTTATTATTTCGCGGGGTTTGTTGCAACAAGAATATGAAATATGCTTAAAGCGGCTTCTGCACTCCTTGTACTGCTACCCAAATTGATAATAGAGTCGAGCTAGTATAAATTGTGCTGACACATGAACTTATATCCCCATAGAGATCGTCACTCCGTCGACCATGCTTGAGCAGAACGTATTAACGTCTCGCTTATTAATTTTAAATACCAGTTGAGAAAAATGCCGTTTATGCTTGCGATTAAATTCGTTAATTGGCTGAAGTCACCCCCCCCCCCCCAATACTAATGCGTTTGGGACAGTCAATGAGAGAGTGCTTTTCAGCCCATAATTTGTTTCACAAGTGTTTCTATTTTGGCCTATGCGTCGCATTGTCCACGGAGAGAAGGAGAAACTGTTGAACTGTTAGAGAATATGCATAATACAAGCTAGTTTTTGCATGCTATTTGTTTTACCAAGTTGTGGTCAAGGTAAAAGTGATCTATTCATGTTCCGATTTGGTTTTCTTGTGTTTTGGAGTCACAACAGATCGTAAGTGTCCAGTTTGGGTTCTATTGTTCGCAGTTGGTTAACTCAAACATCGACATGTCGATATAAGCAAAGCGGTTATAATAATACAGCAATTTCGGGTCAAGAAAGTGCTCATATTGGTAAATCAATATTCTTGTCGTATCCGGACGCGCATTTTTGCCATGGTATCTTTTCTCGGTATTTTAGCCTGTATGTGAACAATATGTCAAACAACAAATCAAGGCTGGCTGTGTTTATCGATTGCCAAATATGGATTTCCATTATCAGAGTTCTCTTAACTTAGTTAGAGGCGACGTACTACGATACTATAAATAAAAAAATAGTCTGCACAACCTTAACTTCATATGTTCAGCGGGGACCGTTTGTATGTGAATAAATGGTATGATAACAAAGAAAAAGTCACAGGCGCATGTGTTACGATAATGTAAATGCAAAAGCACTGCATGTGCATGCATTCTAGGCAGTAACAATGATTTTACAATATATTGTTACCTACTTGTATTAGACTTATGATCTTTAATGCTAATTCATTGTGTTTGGGCAACAGATTGGACACGTGACCCCTTTTTTAACAATCGTTATTGTTCCAGGACGAAACATGTGAGCAATGTTCATTGCTTTTTTAATAATAATACTGAATTCGGCCATTTATGCCTTCGAATTTGATTGTGAAGGACCAGATAAGATAATAGTGTATAGCTTCTCTTTGTATTAGCTCTTTTACTCGCGAAGCAAGGCCCTGCTCCCTGGGCTCAGTCCCGCGGATGTTTTTTAATGAAGCGCGACGCCAAATAAAATAGCGGAAAAGCCATTTAATCAAAAATTTACGGTTGTGCCCAACGGTGTACAAAATAAAATTTATAATTATATAAACTTGTATACTATACATATTCTATACAGAATAAATTGATGTATCAAAATGGTTATAACGCGCCGCCTATCCAGTTTTCTCAATATATTAATAGGATAAACTTTCTTGAAATTAAAGTATAAATACATATACCTATGCATAGACGCGATTTCGAACCTGTCCAAAAAAAAACATAACCAATTCACTGAAGCTACACGTCTTAACTACATACTTTTTCTGGCCAATGTAATTACACTTCCGGGTTGGGAGACTTTCAGTCTGTAAAAATAACTTTTTGGTAGTGAAAAAAGATTCAGAGACTGTCCGCAAACTGAGATTTTGGCAGCATTACGGGTTTCGATATTAGATAATGTCATATGACAGTAATAAGCTTTCGTTTATGCAACATATAAAAATCGAAGCTAACTTCCAAAAATTATAGGTCATAGCGTTCACGATTCCAAGAAATCAACGAGAGAAACGGTTTATACTGGTCAGCGCTACCATTAATGGTGGCGTTAATGGCTAGTTTTGGTTCTTCCTCATCATTAGGTATTAGAAAAACCCCCACCATTTAAGAGTTCACAGACATTTCATGGTGCGTACTTGAAACATATGTAAAGTGAATACTCTTTAAATTAGCCTATTTTGTTAAAATTTATACTGCTTAGTCGATAGTCAAATTTAACGTTTGACTGTTAACGTTTAGCGTTGACCAGACCGCCCAAAGTCTTGTTCAAGGGTTTTTGACAAACAAAGCTATTATAAAACAAGATATTGCGTGTTGCTGACACCCTTTGAGGATCGGGCAATTGGATAATGAATGTTTTACAAATGTTGCTGTTCTAATGCTTTCACTTCTCTTAAATTCAAAAACACCGATTAATATACGTTATTAAGTTTTATATATATTATTACCAAAAAAAAAAACACCGATAATGGCGATAAATGTCTGTTGTCGTCAATCGTTTAACAAACTATTATTGTATTCAACTCAAACGATTTTTTTAACGCGATAAAAACGTCAACCCAAACACTGAATTTAGAGCAGATCCTGCAAAATATACGCTCAACCGGAGAAGAAGTTTGATAATATAAGCAGCAGTTTGCGTAATTTGTATATATCACATTTTCTCAAATCAAAATTTCTGCAAGCATTTAGACTTACATCATAAAATTGGGTAGTTATGGTTTGAAGACTGGTTGATCTCGCGGAAGACGCATAGTTTTACAAATAAACATCGTAATAATAATCCAGTTTACGTTTTATTGCTCGAGTGCTTTGTTATTCATCTTTGCTTTCTTTTTGTTATTTTGCACTTAACTATTGATTATGTGAGTTTATTAATAGCACTCAAAAGATATATAGACACTATCACTATATTAGAATACGCTGGTTCCTAATTTATTCGGCGATTGTTTGATTACGCTTACCATTAAGAGTATGCATGTATAGACAGATGTCACCATACCTGCAATCACCTCCTCTGTGACATATGCATGAGCGTAACACTGCAAGAGAGACGCATAAAACTGACGATGTTTGTGTGCAGTTTACCAGTAAATTCATGGACAGTCTTGCCAAGTAAGCGTACGTTTTTGCCAAACAGGGACATGTAGAGAAGCCTTGCTTTATGCGAAGCCGGCTGTAATGGCTTGTCAATAGGTCAACCCTGATATTAAATATCTACCCATTTAGGAGTAAAGCAAACCCCGGACTAAGTGCGTTTTTGCTTATCGATTGGTATGACAATAACTCGGCAAAAAAGAGGAAGATGCGAAAACCTGTAAATCGCAAATGTGCGTGTTTGAAAATCCTCTCAAGTCAAAGGTGTAAAGTTTGATCCGATGAGAACATTAAACCAAGAACATTTGTAAAGGAGTAGAAATTTTTTGACCGTTTTTAATTGAAATTTCTCGCGTATGGTGGAAAGATGGAAAGTCACATGATATTTAACTAAAATATTTACCGATTCTGAAAAAGCATGTGGAACGATGGATTCTAAGACCACTTTCGATATCGGTACATTGATTACTACAATCGACTTTGCTGCGAGGAAGCATGTGAAGCAGAAGAGGAAGGATTCGGACGCTACCCGTGAGTTTCAATGCAGATTCGGGTTATTTATTCGGGTTATTTATTTGGGTTATTTATTTGATGCTTGAACATCGGTTCCTAACTGCTGTACGGGTTCCAGCATATATTAATCATCCGATAGGAGTGGCCAAGATTCTCGTCGATGCGGGAGTAACAGACATGGCTACACTTCAAGCTGCTATTCTTGTATGCCCAACCCCCAATTGATGCATTAGTGATGGTAGTTGTTTTGATATAGGCAAACTATTAATTATAACATGGCATTTTTAGCATGACACTGTTGAGGACACGAACACAACGTTCGAAGAGGTAACGAAAGCTATATATGGGTTTCAATATGATTTGTTATGGACTAGGTTACCATATTCCCAACGTTTATGCTTTGGTTGCTCTTCCCCTCCCAGCTTGAAGAGCATTTCGGGAAGGAAGTTGAAGAAATTGTTAAGGAGTGTACTGATGATAAGACATTACCCGGCAGTGTGAGGAAAAGGCTGCAAATAGAGACGACGCCCCATAAATCTGTGAAGGTTCGTTAAGAGAAATCGTAAACGCAATATTTGAACAATTGATATTATAGTGTTGACCAGAGTTTACAAACGAATCACAGGCAAAATTGGTTAAACTGGCTGACAAATTGTATAATCTGAAAGATATACAAAGATGTGTACCAGTTGGATGGTCTGTTGAAATTGCACAAGGTACTATTGACGTTCTTATATAATTGATATATTCGGTGAATCTCTTCCTTACAATCCTATTTACATTTCTTTTAGAATATTACACCTGGGCCAAAAAAGTAACAGATGGTAAGCATCTCGCAGACAGTTAACGCGCAAGTTATCGCTCTCATTGTGTTTCATCAATTGAATAATAGTCACTGTCATTTATAATTCAGGTGCAAAAGGGGTCAACGATGGACTCACATCTCAACTAGAAGAACTGTACACAACCGGAACGTTCACACACCATGGCAAGACATACAAGTGTCATCCTACTTACACATAATACGAAAAAGGAACGCCACTGGCTTCTTGGGGCGATCGTCCAGAATCTTTGGGTTTCAGGGTTACTTTTTGGTTTGCTGGGGGTGAATCAAATGGCCGAACATGATAGTAAGAGGGAATTCATCTTTAATGTATTAGAATGTCCTTAATTTAGACGTTTTTTTTTTTAGATTGTGTTTTTACTACAGGCTGTAACTTTGTGCTAACAACTTATCTGCTAGTTTATGCAAAATTTAACTTTTCGCGCTAATTTTAATCTCACGTATGACCCATCTTTCATGTAATATAAGAATCAGGCCAACAAGTTTGTCAAATCTTGTTGCAAAAATATGTTGAGTAGTGAAATGTAGTAAAAACGAAAAGGAAACTGTGTATTTAAGCACCGCGTTCTATTCAATTAAGATTTAGTTCAAGTATTAAGGCCTTACACCTCTGCAAAGGTTGATGGCCCGGTTTATATAATCTCTCCAAAGAATCAGACAACCTTGTCGGGTCTGGACGATTAACATATGTGAATACAAGCAATCTCAATGCTTTATCCTTCCATGAATATAATTGCAAGAAAATGACAGTTATTTAAACCGCTTGGCTTACAACAATAATGGTTGTCTCGTGTCTTCACCATCCGACGCGAATTTGTACCTAAAAAAAACGCCAATTGTACGGAAACGCATATTACAACAATTTATCAACTACGGTAGATCGATCTGGATTGTTTTGATATATCAGACGTGAAAAAGATGTTGATATTAATATTATCTTTGACCCGTCCACAACAACTAAAAGCACATATGAATAACAGAAGTATAATTAGTAAAATACATGATCAGCCTGATAATCCTGGAGAACAATTCAAAAGCGGGTGATGCAGTTCACGGGCAGTAGGTTCTTTTCTAGGACAGAATAATAAAGTAATCTTCGCTTGATATAATAATAACGACTTTTACGTGATTCAAATATAATTTTCGTTGTAACAAGATCTGTCATTGTAATTATAATAATCCTTCGGTAATACGAACACTTTGACGGCTTCAGCTTACTCTGTAATAAACTGAATATGTACATTAGCTACTCTGTTACGGGTGTAAACGTGGCATTTAACTGCGTGACCTCTTGTTGCATTTTAGATATTAATGCACGTAATATATCTTTTGCATAAGTTACTACAACTGAACGACGTGCTGTTAATTTGTTTTATATGAATAATCTCTTGATCGTAGAAGTCTTGTAGACGATCTAACCCCTCATAGCTACCAAAAATGTTATCATAACCGGTTGGAGTAAGTTCAGTACATCCTACAAATAGGCTATTGAGAATTAAATGCTTCGCTCGCGACATAATTACCAAAAAACACTTTTGCAATTATTGAAATCGGTTTATTTGTTGAAAAAAAAAGTATCAAGTGGCGTCTCGCATGATTTCGTTTTCGCAAGATCTTCAACAGCTTTAGACCGATTATTAACTGTATGTGCAGTATTATCGTCATTAAATATAGAGAACAATAGATCTGTCCTTGCCCTCTCTGATTGAACAGCATTTATTTGCTGGCTTAAGGTCTTCCTCATCAATTATCCTGTTTTTCAAGTTTTGTTTCGCAAACTTGACTCCGAAAAACTCCAGCGCCTCATCGAAAGCTAAATAATGGCCTTCTCGTGTGATGTTGACAGAACAGGCATGCCGTAACAGTTCCCGGAGCTGAGGATAACGTTTATACGATAAGGCTAAGGATAAGAGTATAAGGATAAGGATAAGGATAAGGATAAGGATAAGAGAATAGGGAGAGGATAGAAGAAGATAAGAAAATGAGTGACAGACTTGAAATAATTGACTCTCCCAGCACATGGAAATAGGGGAGCAAATGCGGCTAAGTTAGAAATTGCATTTCGGAATTCCCCCTTCGAATCCCTACTTTGTGTCCTTTCCAAAAGCTGGCACATTTGAATATAGAGCTCACACTTTAGCCAAATTCTTATCTCTTTGCATCAATTGTTCCAAAGTTTTCTTTTTTGCATGAGATAATTATAAAGTGCAATCTTCTTTTTCTCGATTTTGTTGCCAAAACCTGGACACAGCTGACGACACTTTCTCTTCCTTTGGTGCTTTCAGGAGGTGCAAGTTGGTCGTTTTTACAAAAGTTTCGCTCTGCAGTTGTGAAAAGTGTTCGCGATGACTCTATTGCCATCATTAGAACATGGAGCGACTTGTCTTCTCTGAATGAAATTTTTATATCGTCAAGCCACTCAGATTTGCCCCTTGTAATAATTGTGTGGCGTGCAAAAATTTACTGCTACTTTTCACCAATATCTCTCAACTCGTTATGGCGAACGCACCACCTCCCGTATTCGGCGCGCCTGCTTACATTCAACAACCTGGAATAACATCAGCTCCTCCGACGCAGTTAGCGCCGCCAATACCCAAACAGTTGCCCTGCACCACTCCCAGCAATACGCTTTACCTCAATAATTTAAACGAAAAGATAAAAATACCAGGTATTTTGACAATTTGATGTATATATTTTTTTAATTCTATGCTCATTGAGCTGATATACTATGTTTCGGCCCCAGCACTTAAGAGTGCTTTACGCAGCATGTTTGAGCAATACGGAGAGATATTAGATGTCGTAGCTCATAGTAACTTAAGAATGCGAGGACAAGCCTTTGTAGTTTTTAAAGATCAAGAAAGTGCCGTAAAGGCTCATATGGCAAAACAAGGTGTTACGTTAGAAAACAAGCCAGTGGTCAGTTGTTTTTCTATGGTTTTTTAAATTCAATTAAAGTCTTGGCTGGTTCAAGTCTGATCAGAACACAAACACTCTAAATGATGTTTGATATATATCGTTAGGTAATTCAATACGCAAGATCAAAGTCGGATGCAATAGCTAAACTTGATGGCACTTATGAAGAACATAAGAAACAGAGGATGGAAGCTAAAGGTATTTGGGTGATGGTTTGAGTGATGATTTTGTTTATTGTTTTTTTTTTAATGATTGAAATCTGACATTATAAACATAGAGAAACGAGCAAAAGAACCACCCCAGAAGAAGATGAAGCATTCACATCCACAGGGTTATCCCACAATGTCATCTGGTATTGGAGGAGCAGGTATCTTAATATTGTTTATGTTATGAGTTGATTTTTAAATAGCCAATGGCTCATTCTGTATTTTTCTTTCCTCAACGCGTGATATTTTTAAGGAGGGCTTTACTTTGGTGGACAAGTGCCAGGAGCAACGTCCGATGAGTTCCTCCCACCAAATAAAATTTTATTCATACAGAATCTTCCTGCAGACGTTACGGAGCAGTCACTCACTGCTTTATTCCAACAGTACGTAGCAGTATCTTGATTATGTATCTTGCGCATGTTTTTAATTTCGCTAAATCAATTGATACCAAATCGTTCACCTCATTAACATTAACTCTTTTTAGATATCCTGGTTTCAAGGAAGTTCGTATGATCCCCACAAAGAAAGACATAGCATTTGTGGAATATGATACGGAACCACAGGCGATGGCTGCTAAAGAGACGTTGGCAGATCACCAAATATCTCCTGACCATAAGATCAAGATCACATATGCAAGGAAATAAGAACGTTTGTGTCGATTGGTAGACTAAGACGTGTGATGACGTGGAGAATATATCGCTAGAGAGAGAAAGAGACATTTGGGGGTATAAAGTCGAAAGGCATTCGGGTGACAGCTGTTTGAAGACATCGGTAACTACTCGATTAGACATTCGTATCAAAGAGGTAGGACAGTTTCAATATTGAACTATCTCTGACCATTGTCTTTGTACAATACACTGGTGCCTTTTCCTTCGTTGTGTCTACACACGACTTCTTGTGATAAACATCATGTAATTATTTGTATAGGACGTCACTACAAACCAACTACTGAATACATAATTCTCGGAATCGAGTATTCCCGTTTGCATTAGTTAATACGCATTTACAATGTTCATTTTCGTTACATAAACTAGGTGGAATTATGAAATATATTTACAAAATAAAACAATAATAGAATTCCATACACATTTACTCTTCATAAAGAATACGATGGTACCGACACTGAAAACCGAAGCGAGAATTAGTGCGTCTCATCACAAGTTATGACTTTTGATCAACGTCGCATCAAATGAACACTTACCGTAAAACAAACCCTGAGGAGACAATCCCTGCATTCGAAAGTATAGTTCTTCAGCATAAACCAACAATTTGCACAGGGCTGAGCCTGATCCAATTGTATTCGTGTCCATTGGTGCCGACAAGCATGCTCGACTTCAAGTCTTTGGCGGTAGTCGTCTACTGCATCCGCCAAGTAGTGGCCGCGAAGGTATGGCTATGGGAATAATTGAAATGGGGTTTACAAGATCATTAAATACGTCGTAAGATTACTTCTATAAACGTCACACTAATCCCTTCTACGTCCGCTCACCTGCGCTTGTCGAACCCTCTCTGTGGCAGTGAGAATCAGTCGTTCTTCGTCCCACATTGGACAGTCGCATGACTTCCAGGGTTCACCACATTCGTAACAGAATTCATTTCTGCAAATGCATGTCTATAAACAAGTGAGAAATATTTGTTGTTGACTACTGATGAAAGTAGGCGGGTGATTAACATGATCAGGATGCAGTTCCATAGAGCATGAAACATACCATGTGATTGCAACCATAATATAAATCGACTATCCGATGACATCGACAACATTCTTGCCATTTCTCTTGTATGGCCAGTTCTCGTATCTGGGCAGATTCGGGATCTTCGGGACAATTTCCACTAATAGACAATGAACAAACATTTTACTATACATTACACTATGCGACATCTAATAACACAGTCTTGAACAAATTTTCCTACCTATCGCGCTAAACAACCATCAAACAAGACAGCAACAGTTAGAGCAGGCTGCTAAAAAGTGACGATTGCCTATCGCGACAGAAAAGAAACTCGAACATTTCCTAGTATACAGCTCGATTTCTCATCAAAACACACCTATGCGCATAATTTCTGCAGTCGAGACAAATCTGGGAATCGCAAGCCGTACATAAAGCAATATCGTCCGCTTCACCGTCAAGCGGGATGAATGTACTGCAGAGCGGGTTAGGGCAATATAATTTGTCTTCAGATATAACTTCCAATCTCTTCATAAGATGTGCTTGCAACTCGGCATCGTCCAGAACCCTCTCCGCTACTTCAATAGAGATCTCCTCCCCACAGCATCTGACGGGCATTAAAGTTTCATCGGTAGTGGCTTTCACAAATAGCTGACGAAGACAAGGATAACAAAAGTTGTGCATACAGGCGAGAGAATGGGTTTCGCGATGCTCAAAGCAACAGTTGCATTGTTTCAATTGGGATTTGGTGTGCGGCGTTGTAGAAGGGCCGGCGCTGGGCGTGAAAGAATGTGAGGCTAACCAGGACGGAGAGGATGGAGAAGATGACAAGGATGACAAGGGTGAAGGGTATATGTCTCTGGGCAAATCTGCTGAAGAAGACGATGGTATGCCTAGAGGCAAATGGTTTTCCGGCCTGTTTATATAAAATTCATCTACGTCAGGTTCTTGATATTCATCAGCAAAATAATCAACGTGGTCCTCTCCCGTCGCTAATTGTAAAGCAAGTCTTCTATCGGCAGCTTCTTGCAATTCTAACTGCCTAAGTCTCTGTATAATCGCCCAATCTGTGTTTATAGCCCCTTGTATGCTTTTAGCAATAACGGCATCTTTGATTGTTGTATTGTATTTACGCAATTCTTCTTGGTGTAATTCTAAGGCATACTCTGCATCCGTCTTACGGATGCCTTTTCCCTTTCGACGTTCCAGCACATCGTGGACCTCGTTAAGATGAAGTTGCACACTGATACTACGGTCACGTTCGTCTTGAGAATCCTGCATATACAAGGTCTATGTTTTGAGAGGTAATGAAGAACGGAAAGTTTGAAATCCATACTCTATTAAAAGGGGAAATGATATGCAAACTCGTGATTCGTGTTCACCTTTTCAGAATTAATAATAGGAACTCGTAGCGCATCTGGTTAGTGCGTAAATCGATTTTGAAAATGGGAATCGTTTGTGCCGACGAAAGCGAGACCTTAGCCTGAGTTTAGACTACTCTTTTATTCAATCATCACGCCATCTCTTTTCACCGCAGGTAACAATAGAGCAGTCAATCGATGCAGCTGTAACCTTAGGTTCATATTAGTATTAGTTAGAATGGCACATTAATAATCATCAGGCGTGGTATACATGTATTATTAGACATCTGCCATGTCTACTACCATTCAATGTATATAATATCTGAAAAGTGCTCAGCTTATCACATGCTATCCGGGAATGCGTACTAATATTATCTAACCAGAAAATGCGCATTACTTTTGCTTAGCACTGTAGCGGAAGACTACTCTGCGATAATTATGGTCGTTTATTTAACGCTACGTGGTTTACTTCGTGTCGAGGGATTATATGACCGCAATGTGTAAGAGTTTGAAGACTGCATACGACAAAGACATGGCTTGTGTCGAAAAAAGCGCGCCAAAGAAAGAAAAAGGCTTATCCCTAAAATAAAGTTACAAATATTTCGCCACGTTCCCAGGGACTAAGCCACAGATCCTGACAGACAGCAGTCAGACTGAGCAAAAGCGAAACGGATTCTCAGTTCTAATAGAAAATACCGTTCCAATAAAGAGGAAGGGCAATTTTCATCATTTGAATTTACACGTATAAATGATATTTTAATATTAATATGTGCAATTAGAATGCCAAGAAAAGGGCGATTTTGCTGATCATCGCGCAATTGCTTCTGAATTGCTGTCGTTTGTTCTGCCCTGTTAACGCATCACAAATGTCGCGCATTCGAGTTCGAGTTTTATTAATAAGTATTTTGGCAATCGTTTTCATATACTTTACGCTCCAATATTCTGTCAATGACCCAGATACCGATGCTTCCAAGGTCTCTGTCGAGCTGTATGTAATGAGTCAGTGTCCCGATGCAGACGCATGCGAACAAGTATTTCAATCAGTGATGAGTAAAGTCAATGACATAGCAGTGATAAGGACCGATTATGTTGGTGTTATAGACCCTAATGCGAAATATGGGGTGGTTTGTAAACACGGAGATCAAGAGTGTTTAGGTAAGTGCTAAAACAAGAAGTCAATTTTCATGCACGAGTTGTGTATGACGCATTTAAACATTCTTGCGGCTGCTTCTCTCTTTGCCAACTTGCTCGCTTTCCCCCCCCTTCTTTCTTCAAAGGTAACATCCACGAACTCTGCTTTGAATCAAATTATCTCCCCGCCAAACAGACCGAGTTTATCGACTGGCTCAGTTGTCTGAATCGCGATCTCTCACAGAAGGGTGATCTTGAATATTCTCGTTCTTGCGCATTAGAGGTCAACATTGACTATACTCCTGTCGAGCAGTGTGTTAGAACACAAGGCGGTCAGTTGTTGATTGAGAGCGTCAGAAAGACGAACGCTAAAAGAGTTACGAAAAGTTGCACGATACATCTTAACGGGAAACAGAGATGTATTAAGGATGGTGATTGGTATGATTGTCCAGGTGGGCATGAGGTTCAGGACTTTGTGAGAGATATTAAAAATGCGTATGCAGGTATGAAAGACGGGACGAGGATGAATACGAGATTGTTCAACGTGAACTAAAAATATTTATGGTCATTATGGATATGTACAGCGATAAAGATATTTCATTCTATGCAATCGATTTTTCTATATTTAAACTCTGAGAAAATCGGCGGCCATGAATACTTCATAAGCAAGTTCAGGCTCCAAAGCAAATTCTGGAGTTTCCGTAGAAGCATCCTTATATCGAACGTTATAATACATGTATCGACAGACGTGTTCAAGGATTTTTGCTCTATAATAAATATCGAGATGGTCTTTGTAAAAGAGAGCATCGAACTTGTAGAAAACAACGTATTAAGAGATAACATACTTTATGGCCCTGAAATAAATCTCATTCTGTTCGGACTCGATCAATTGAGCTGTTCGTTCATCAAAATTCCATATTAGTACAGGGTTATGCGAACACTTTCAAATCTATACGCTTGGCGTACTAACCGGGATTTGATAACATGTTTTTGAGAGTTTGCGATATGATTGCAGCATTCTTTTCAACGATAAATGTGAATCCATCTGCTGAAACTAATTTTACGTATTCTGGTCGACCACTTTCTGTTTCGTTCATTGTCTCCTTATTTAGTTTGTCAGAATCCGTAAATATTGATGCGGGTGGAGCATGAGCCATCGAGACGAACGATGCGAGAACGTAAGCATGATGACGTAAAATTAACTCGTTTTTATAGCATATGTAGTCACAGAGCTAGGCATCCAATCCCCATGCAGTACTATTAAAAAATCACCTGCCGCTAAATATAGTAAAATAGCTGATATTTTTGCTATAACAATAGAACGTCCAATTCAATTATATTTTAAGTTGAAACCTACTGCTTAAAATTAGGGGCTTAGATTGTAGGACGGCAGAAATGCAACCAGCTTTGCATAGCCTCTTCCCCTTCAATACAAAGAGGCGGGTTTTCGGCAGCTTGGCTTTGATAACTGGCTTTTTTTTCTTGACAATTGCCTGTATTAATATCCCGTCTTGACGACCCGTTTCTCCAAAATTACGTTTTCTGCTTTCTTGAACTTGTTTATCCATAATGTAAATAAGATGTCTCAATTCATTTCTAATTATCTTTTTTGTTAGTAGTCAAATAACTAACATTTACTTTACCATTAGGTCTAATAATGAGCTATATGACCCTTATCCTCCCAAGAACTCGTCTCAGGTTGAGATGAGTCAAGTCAACAAGAGTGGAAATGCAAAGATATTGGCTGTTCAACAGCAGATTGACAGTACTAAAGGCCAAATACAAGAAACGATCCAAGCGTTAGCCGCAGAAGGACAGAAGTTAAAGGATTTGGAGGAACAGACAGGTAAATAAGCATTGGATAGCCTAGAGAGCAAATGGATAGACCAGAGGAAAACACAAGTTTTACTGTGAAAGATGTGTTTCTAAACTTGTTTACTTTTATCTCGTGTCTTTGACAGCAATGCTTCATGGGAGTGCTGGTGCTTTCGTGTCTACATCTAAAAAAGTTAAAAAGAGAATGTGGTGGAAGAATACGAAAATGACTATTGTCTTAACGATTTTCATAATCGCAATCCTTACTGCAATCATTAGTGAGTATTACTGACAATGGACTAAACTTTCTATGTAACCCGTTACCGTCATACATCGTTTAACCTTTATTAATTAACTCTCTCTAGTTCCTGCCGTGTTAAAAGCTCAAGGAAAAATCTGAGTTGAGCATAGACAAGAAGCGATAGACGACCTGTATATAATTATGTAATTGAAGAGAACTGTAGGAGCATGCTCTTATTACTGGACAAAAATATTTATTGAATAAAGACCTAATAAATGATAGTTTGCTAAGTACGTTGGAAAATGGCTATAACTTCTAATACTTTTATGTATATATGTATACTTGGAATGCGGATGTTATAGTAAATTTTTGTTGCAAGCTGCAGCACTCTGTCTTGTGTTTAGATTACCGATCGCTTTCCTATAATAAGTGTACAATTCAAGTCAGAGTTTATTCTTCTGGTTAGGTGTTTCCTCGTAGCTACAATTTACGTCGCTCGCTCCTAAACAAAGGTTATCACTGCTGCTAATGCCGTTTACTGCGTTACATCTATCAATCTAAATTTACCTAATTTACTTAATATTAATGCCTCTGGCAGTCGTGTGGAGAGCCCGACAAACTGATGGGAATAACCAAGGCATAAATAAAGGTCAAGAAGACATGTCGACCACACCCAACAATCTCAACAACGAAAGTCCAAACGGCGCCAGATCAGGCGCAATCGGATCAGACATTAGGCGCGAAACTCATTGAAACACTCAAAAAAGGCGCGCGCTGTGTCTAATGATATCCATTGCATTGGATATCGCACTGGACTCTTTGATAAGATTTGCAACATTTTTATCCAGAGCACGTCTATTCCACGAACACTACATCACAGAATGGCTAGGAGATATGGTAATTATCGAATACGACAGTGAATTAAAGACTTATAGACTTCCCAAAAAACATGCTTGCATCAACTGGAAAGCTGGTCCTGATAGCTTGGCCGTCTTTGTTCAATACACTCGGTTCTTGGATCAGGTTGAAGACGGGTATTTTGAAATGCTTTAAAAATGCTGGTGGGTTACTGTACGAGGCATTTCCTCAATTCCAGGAAGTTATGGCAGAAGACAGTTAGCAATCTTTTGGATCCGCTTTGCATAGTATCGTCTTCCCCGACTACTGGATAGTTTTGAGAAGGGATGTAAACTGTCAACGTTGGCTGTGGACGCGGTCTTATCTATATTAAACACTTTCCGAATAGCACTTTCCGGTGATATGATATTTTCGATCGAATCGATGGCTATTATTATCGCTAATGCTGAAACGATTCGTGTGGTCTTGCTAATATTTCGTTTCATGTAAACAATGACTACAAGATAGAAGAAGTGGATGAATACGATGTTACTGTCATTGACCCAATGATAGTGTTGATGCAAGATATTAATACTTCAACTGATCTTGAAAAGAACGTCCTTCATCCTTTGGGTCCTTCATTGTATACTATTAGCACAATGTATTTCATGGCGGTCTCTTTGGCACATAACGGAATGGAATTGGGAACTTGTTGGAGCGGGAGGTTGGCAACTCTTAAACAGTTAAAAAATGTTAAGTCTGAAAATGTTTAAAAAACGGGTTCAATAAGACAGGTATTACCGGTTTATCAATAGGAAATAAGAATGAAAAACAGGCAACAATTAATAAACTAATATTTTACCGAGATTGTCGAGTCATAGTCATGTGAAGCATGCGAATACCATCGTCTTGAAAATTAAAGACTTTAGACATTAAGCAAACTTGCCATGCCGTGTGTAAATTAATAATTATTATCATAAACACTTTCGGCCAAGAAAATTGAATTATAACTTAATATCAGCAAAGCAAGGGATTACGTCCTGTTGCAAGCATAACTAAACAACGATCTTAGTTGAAAGTGACGCGAGGCGCTTGATGGCGCTTATTGATTTCCGCGACAATTCAAGTCAAGCATTTTTACCGCAATATGAATGATATTTTACAGTAATTTACTTATCAAATGCTGAGACAATACACCCTTCAAGCTATAGAACAACCGAATATGTATCAAGAGTTTCGAATTGGTACCAATACATACTAATACATATTGCTAATTTTACTTTCTATTGACAAACCAATAATTCAGCGATTCTTTGGACAACTGAACAATATCGGTATTACTGAAACCAACATCCTTTAATGTTTTCAAGGTGCTTTCGTTTCCCCAAGCAGATCCCAGACCCATTCCACCTTCGGCCAAAGAGACGCTCATAGCATGTATAGTGCTTATACAATATATTGCAGAACCAACGGCATTAGCCTTATTGTTCTCAAGCTCACTTGATACATTGATTTGCGACATTGCAAACACGCCATCATCTTTTAGAGCGCGATGGACACACTTTAACGCATTTATCGGGTCAACCTGAACGTGAAGACTTTCCATACAAATAATAGCATCATATTCACCGACTTCTTCCATCTTTGAAACATCTTGCACGCGGAAAGAAACATTCGTAAGACCAGAAGACGCTACATCGGCATTGGCATCGGCTACCAATTTAGGCAAGATATCATAGCCATAGAACATGCTATTCGGAAACCGTTTTGCAAAATCAAGAATAACAGAGCCGCGTCCACAGCCAATATCGAGTAATTTACATCCCTTCTCAAGCGAATCAAGTAATCCGGAAATACGAGGAAGAATGGTAGAATGCAATTCAGGAGCAAGCAATCCAGTTCTCTCGGCAATTACTTCATGGATTCGATAGAAAGTTTCATTATGCAATCCGCCACCATTTTTAAAGCATTCCAAAACACCGTCTTCATAGCATCCAAGTCTCGGAACCCATTCGGCCAAGATAGACAAGTTCTTACTTCCGGCAGTTCTGGTCAATATCGAGGCACCTTCTTGAGGAAATCTGTAAGTTTTGGATTCACTGTCGTATTCGATAATTCTCCCGACTACCATGCCACCTAACCATTCTCTGACGTAGCGTTCGTTGAGATTGGCTTTTTGGGCGAGTGTTTCGGAAGAGGCGTATTCTGGATAGAACGTTGCAAGCGCATCAAAGAGTCCGGTGCGATGGCCAATGGATATCATCAGACATAGCGCGCCATTGTTGAGTGTATTGATGAGTTTCATGGCGAATGCTTGGGATTGATCGGACATGGTTTGAGCTTCGGTAGACATTTTGATAGAGATTAAAAATTTGTTTGCTTGAGACGTGAAACTTATTTATAATCTTGTTCAAAACCGACTGCTGCCTGTTGAGAAACGGTGATGGCATTGCGTTGTGTGTTTTTTTTTAAAAAATCTCCACGAAAACTTCATAGTATTTACCATACTCGTATTTACTAGCTATTTGTCAATTAATCGGTTCCGCATGGCCCGCGGAACAAATCTCGGTCTTTGTGATCAACACACTGTTTAAGTGAACTTGCCATTTTATTATAATTACTATTTCGAGGGAAAGGCTAAAGCGGAGCAGAACGTGATCCCGCTTTTATTGGCTGCCATACAATGAGCTTTAGACATGCCCTATTTTGATGAAAGATCGACACATACAGTGCCCTCGAGGGCACTGTTCCAAAGCGGGCTTTCATGTGATTGGATGATCGATGAAATGTATCACAACATACTGTCCGTCTATCAAATTCTCGATCATCTGACTTTAAACGATTTGGTGGCCACGGAAAACAATTGGCCAAGAACAAAACCAACAAATTTCGAAACTGTACCTTCCATTCTACGAATTGAGAAAGTAATTTGGAAAAAGGCGAGGTAATTCGCAAGTTAGCTACTAACGTTTTCTTTGTACTCTACAGTCTTTGGCTAGACATCACATTCGAAGAACGTAAACTTTACTTATTTTTGCAAAATGTCTCGGGATATTGTCTCCAACGACAATAAACGTAAGAGAAAGGCACAGCACTGTGATGTAGAAGGTATGGGAGAGGTTATATGTGATTATGAACAGCATGGTGCTACAATAGTGTCAAATAGAGTAACTATTCCAGAGGCGAACAAACATTTGAACTTGGTTGGTAAGGCCTTGTGCAGAAAACATTATAATAAACTAATTGTGAATGCAAAGAAATCCACAGAGAGCAGTGTATGCTCTCATCCTAAGCATGAGATATATGCATCTACAGCACGTCCAGGGAAAAAGGAAACAAAAGTCAGGAAGGTGCCAGAACGCTTAGTAAAATACTTCGAATTGCCGCATACGGCATTAATGTGTCGCCACTGCTTGTACAAATCTGACAATGACCCTGAATATGTGGATTCACCCAATTATCTACCTCCAATTGAGAAGCTATCGAATGAAAATATAAGAAAGTTTCAAGGTAGGTCGTA